GGGGTATATTCATGCTTCACTGCGGCATGGTATCTCAGTGGGCTAGCACTATAAAACCAGCTTAAGTCTGGGCTAGTACAAGCAGCCGCACATACACATTAACACGCATGCATGTCGTCATATGAGCGAAATATTCTCAAATACGACGTTAAACCCAATTTCACCTCACCTAAACATTGCATCAACGGATTGGCAGAGACGAAAGTAATGCGGCTCAGGGACTGTGAGACAGACTTTGCAATAACAAGAGAAGTTAACAGATACTTGTTGTTTCCTTGCCTGGCAGTCGACTGTAGTGGAATAATAGAGGAGTGGAGTCCGTATACTGCCTCTAAGTTAGGTATATGTATAAAACATCAGTGAGTGAGTTTAGTTTTACGTCGCACTCAGCAATATTCCAGCTATATGGCGGCGATCTGTAAATAATCAAGTCTGGATCAGACAATCCAGTGATCAACATCGTGAGTATCAATCTACGCAATTGGGATAAGATGACATGTGTCAACCAAGTCAGCGAGCCTGACTACCCTAACCCCTTTGTCGCTTCTTACCTCAAGCATGGGTTACTGAAGACCAATTCAAAACCCGGATCTTCCGGGGTCTATTTAACAACGGGGAAAACCAGACATGCAGACTGTAAAAACGAAATCCAGACCAAAAAACAGAAAAAGGTTTTCCCCATTCTAGAAAGTTGAAAATTTGACAAATCCGACCATCGACACCAATTGTACTGAGGATTTCAATGAATGCGTGAATATGTTCGTGTGTGCTTGCTCTGCACCTGCAGTTGTAAATGTTTTCACGAACATACATAAGCAATTAATATCTTTTTATGTATCATGTGATGTCTCATGGCTGATGGCAATCACTAAAACCAACCTGTCTTTATTAATCTTGGCATGTTTTGCTAATGTTCCCCGTTCACCTTGCCTAAACGAGGGACACTGTGTACAAGTAGGTAAGACCGTACGGATCCCAGTAAGAAAAAGGAAGGGTATTAAAACACGGAAACTTTAAAAACTTTGAATATTTTATATTGGGCATACCTTGAAAGAGCATTAGACATAAAGCCTCTTCTTCACCGTTGAGGAGGCTTGACAGAACCATTGAGTGAGTGAGTGAGTGAGTATGGTTTTACGCCGCTTTTTAGCAATATTCCAGCAATATCACGGCGGGGGACACCAGAAATGGGCTTCACACATTGTACCCATGTGGGGAATCGAACCCGGGTCTTCGGCGTGACGAGCCAACGCTTTAACCACTAGGCTACCCCACCGCCCCGACAGAACCATTGACGCATCGTAATTGTTGATGATCAGTTAAAGTATCAATAGTAAGCATCAGATCTGTGAACATTCTACATACCCAATCAGACTGAAGAATGTTGGGAATGTGTTTACTCTCGTGCAAGGAAAGCTACGATGACTAAGAGTAGAAGACGATGACAAACTGTACAAAAAATGAATAGAGTGAACGATAGGTACATGTGGAACGTCTGTGTTGACAAGTAATGACAAAGTAACAGACGTAACGGAGACAATAAATATTTCATCAAGAGTTCATGGCAAGAGGATGGATGCAACGTTAGGAATCGAAACGGTATTTTAGTATATAGATCGAACGCCTTTTTCTATTACAGCTGCTTCTTAGAAAACGTTTGTGGCACATGCTTCACTCCATACCTGTAGGGTCTTGCTTTAAGTCTTTGGAAGTTTTAATCTTAAAGTTTTAATCCAACAAGCGATGGTAGTCATTTCACCGCCACATTGATTCATTAATCTTGAAAGCATGCCCACCCCCCCTTCTCTCTCTCTCCCTCGTACTCTCTCACTCTCTCTCGTTCTCTCTTTCTCGCTTTCTCTTTCTCTCCCTCTCTCGTACTCTCTCACTCTCTCTCTCTCGCTCTCTTTCTCTCTCTCGTACTCTCTCTCTCGCTCGCTCTCTATTTCTCTCTCTCTCTCTCGCTCTCACCACACTGTGCCTCATTACACCTAACTGGTCAATCTAGGGAGCTTCTGTTTCCTCCAGCACCCGAGTACATGTGAGCACCCCACACACTGCCAGCCCCGTGGCATGCAATGACAGAATACAGTTATACTATGTGCTAATCTGCTTTGATCTCCGTGGTATTTGATAGCACACTAATATAGCATATTATCTATCAATCTGATATAGAAGAATAACATAATACATGTTTATTAACGCTCACATACAGTGCAAGGCTAGTGATATTCCACAATAGGCTTAGTGATGTTCGGATTTCTTTGAAACCGAAGCAATCAGTATATCAAAATATCTGTGTTATTGTCAGTGGAAAATAGCATTGTCAGTGTAGAGGCGTCATTATATTCTTATCATAAACATAATGGTTTTAGCACATGGCACCATTACAAAATGTTCCACCCACTCTCCTTAGATTGTGATAACAGACATAGGAGTTAAACATGTAGTTTGGCCTTATCTTGTGTATTTATTATTGTCGCTCCCACAACAATTCCTTGGGCGTTTGTTTCAAAATGTGTCAAATAATGGTGGTTTTAACCCGAGGGGAATGAATTATCAACGTGTCAGACATTAAATGTGAACTATCTACAAAGATTGTGAAGCACCGAATATGTTTAGTTCTACATACGACATTCATGACGCCGAGATTTATTTCTAACACATTTCAATCGACATGTGCATGTTAAACTGCTGGAGCGTTTGATCTGCAATGCTCATTGAACCTTCTTTTGTAGTTTATATTAATGGATATAATTCTTAAAGGTTAAAGTATTATTTAGTTAGATGTATTTTTGCAAGCTTTGTTTCCAAAGCAACATCGATATTTTCCCATTCAATGACGATACATCCAAAATATGTTAACTGCTTCCTGTAATTATATATTATTGATGATGATTCCATGTAAAATGGTATTTTCAAATCTGGAATAACTGGAATTTTTAAAACATTTGATCTATTGAAATCCATTAGGTCGATAGATGTAGTTATTTCGCTGTATGTAATTAACTGATGGTTAAAATAAAGGAATATCAGTAGGAGTGAGTGAGTGAGTGAGTGAATGAGTGAGTTTAGGTTTACGCCGCTTTTAGCAATATTCCAGCAATATCACGGCGGGGGACACAACAAACGGGTTTCACACAGTGTATCCTTGTGGGGAATCGAACCCGAGTGTTCGATATATAATGTGCTGTGCCTTGATTGTTAGCGCTATGAGCATACCTAGTGTGGAGTTTGGCGCTATATAAATGGACACATTATTATTATTATTAGTGTTCGGCGTGACGAGCGAACGCTTTAACCACTAGGCTACCAAACCGCTTTATGTCAGTAAGAGAGGAATTGCATTGTGGCAGATAGTATCAGCATCGGAGGGCACCTTGAGTCTTTTCACGATTAAAACAGGGTTTGAATTACAACTGCTTTGAATAATGGTGTCACATACCCTGCCCGGGTGACAATGTTTTAGGCTACTTTAACCTTATGTAAGGACGCATCAACCAAAAATCTAGGTTCTCTGCCAGTGTTTTGATATATCTATTTTCTTTAAGACAAAATCAGTAAATGAGTTTATGCATTTTTAAAAGTATTCTCCGGGCAAATACTTTGGAATTGTTACCCAAAGACTGTTTTTAGTCCCTAAACCATACTTTTCTCTTCCGCTCAACCCTTACTATACAGCCAAACGTAAATTCAGCAAATCTAAGCATTCCGAAACCAGATTTGCCAAAACTAAATTTCAATGAAACCAAACCAAAGTAAGTCATACAAGCAGTAAACACAGGGTCATTTCGTTGATGAAATAGATCAATGGTGTGTCTCAAATCTTAGATAACTCATGTATACATGCTTCAGAGTCACATATGATGCATAAGTGACATGACGTCACAGTGGTCATTGTCTCCGCTACGTAACACTGTCCTTGAACAATACTTGTGTCATTGACATGACGGATCGGTTGCATATTTGACGTTGGTCAGCTGCATATATACAACCTTCCCCCAAGTCCCCACATCCTCTCCCACGGTTTGCGTGGTCGTACAAACGGACGTGGTAAGTATTTGCTTGGCGCTTTTATTTGCACCATATTGCAAGTATAATACGCCCAATGGGCTGATAGTTTCCAAAACCGGTAAATGAATCCTTAGCCTGATTGCGAATGACGTTGTTAAGGTTTTTCTTCTGTATATACTGATGGTTGTAATTAGGGAACGGCAGAGAAGGATGGGTTTGTGGTGGATGTTATAGGACAGGACATGTTTACGCCGAGATCCTGGCACTATTAATGATTTCCAGGGATCCGTTTATATAATGATCACCACTATTTTGCATATATCCTTCAAATGAATCTGTAATGATGGTTATTCTCTACTGTTGACGTTTTATATTTTCTAGAACAAGAAAATTTAAGATTAAACTTTTTGACAATGAAATATTTGGTTAACCATATTCAGCAACCTACAAATATATAACGAAAACAAAGGAATGATTTATTTTAGTTCGTAAAAACCGTAGTTCGTTACATGCGTTTCGACTAAAATATACCGCAAGAAGTAGTGGATAAAAACCAGAGCCTAGATTTTCGAAGCTCTCTTAAGTTAAGATAGTCGTAAGTGTCATTCATTAACAGGGCCCTTATGCTCGAAACGTTCGTAGCCCTAAGAATTCTTATTTTTGATCGTAGCTAATATGTTAAGGATGGGCTTAAGAAGTTCTTAGGGCTACGGACGTTTCGAGAATAGCTAGCCAGGGCCTAGATTTTCGAAGCTCTCTTAGCGCTAAGATAGTCGTAAGTTAATGTTAATGTATGGCACTTACGACTATCTTAGCGCTAAGAGAGCTTCGAAAATCTAGGCCCAGTTCGTTATATCCGTGAGTTCGTTGTAAGCGTGTTCGCTATAAACATAGTTTAGTCAATACACATGTACTTTGTAGTTTACTTAATAATAACATATACTATCATTATTGTTTCACAGTATCGACAAACCAACAGCACCAACATGAGGACTATCGCTGTAGTGTTAGCGGTGTTTGCCGCGGCTGTGTATGGTAAGTACATTTAGTGTTATCTAACGGGCCACTGGTCAGTGGAAATCTCGACTCTTTCATCGTGATTGTTAGTCTGTCAGCATCGGTGCTAGCGGCATCTACCTGGTTCTCTGTCATCTATTATTATGAGGACAAGCCGTGTTTTTACTGAAATACGCCATAAACAGCGTTAAACCCAACTCACTCACTCTAAGTATAGAGAAACGTATGCAATTGAATGTGTATAATTAAATGGTCAATACTAGCTATTGGGCATTATGTGTATATACTTATATACTTTGAAAATTATAGTCATGCGGAAGGATTCTTACAGTGCTGACAAAACGCAGGTATTCTTTAAACATAATACTAACTTACGACATATCCAACTGAAAATCAAACGTTTAATAACTTTGCCCCTTTATATCACTGTAATTGTCTTACTACCAGAGGGTTACAAATATGTTCTATGCCATTGTGTATGGACTGTTGTGATAAGCGTTACTTTCTGCCTTTAGCCCAGACCCCAACAGCTCCAAGCCCAGTGACCCAAACTCCGTCTGGATCTAGCAACAACAATAACAACAAAATCAGCAACAATATGAACACCAACACCATGAACACTCCTGCGGATACCAACATGATGAACAATAATATGAACAACGGGATGAATAACGGCCATAACAACATGATGAACAACGGGATGAACAACGGCCATAACAACATGATGAACAACGGCCATAACAACATGATGAACAACGGCCATAACAACATGATGAATAACGGCCGTAACATGATGAACAACGGCCGTAACATGATGAACAACGGTCTGAACAACATGATGAACAATGGCCTCAACAACCTGAACAACGGCCTCAACAAAGCTAATCCTAACGGCCTAATGGCTCAATTCCAGAACCCAATGTTCAGAAACATGAACAACAACAACATTCAGAACAACCCGATGACAGCTTTGGCTTTTCCCCAAAACAACAACGTCCTCCCAAATCAGGGAAAAGGCCAGGTTTCTCAGTCACCTTTTAACTTCCTACCATTCATGCTTGGTAACGACAGAATGAACCAGATGGCGATGCTGTCCATGATGTCGAACCCCTCCACCACCGGTAACATGTTGCCATATTTCGCCCTGGCAGGAGGTAACGAAAACATGTTCCGTCTCATGATGCTCGGGAACGTCATGAACCAACGCAAGGGAGGTCAAGGTCAGGGATTCAACCCCTTCACGATGCTCGCTCTCACCGGAAATGACATGATGCAGAAGCTGTTCCCAATGATGATGATGATGAACCAGGACGGCCTGCAGGGAGCAGCCTCCCCCACTACAGCCGTATCTGGAGCGACGTCGACTGCGACCCAACCCCAGGGTGGTAATAACGGATATCTCAACCTTATGATGATGAACAACATTATGTAAATGTCGTTGTTTTACAACATGATGGTATTGAGGCTCTCAACAACGCTTCTTTGATTTACATGAATGGGAATAAAATATTTACCTCCTGATATCTGTTTCGGTTTGAATTTGTGGATTTATATATACTCATGCCAATAATGGTTGTCACCCCCACCCACCCCCACACACACACCTCACACCCCACCCCCACATCCCTCTCCAATTAAAAAAATTGAAGGGGGTGACAACCATTATTGGCATGAGTATATGTTTGGCATTGTTTCTCATTGTTTCAACTTAGGAATCGCTGGGATAGCCTAGTCTTTAAAGTGTTCGTGCCGATGACCCGGGCTCCATACCCTAGCTGGCTACAACGAGTGAAATCCATTTCTGGTGTCCAACGCCGTTTTACTGCTGGAATATTGCTAAAAACGGCGTAAATCCATACCCACCCATTCTTCAGCTCACTTTCATCACCGGCGTTTGTCGTTATTAAGTTACACTTCCTGTTTTGTCCAATACATCACATCTTCTATTATGATTCTATGACCCCAGAAACACTGATCCTGTTATATTAACTAAGTATTCCTTTACTTATAATTGGGGGCGGTGGGGTATTATATTAAGCTGTGAGATCAATGCAATAACATAATAAAACGTTTTCAGTTAAGATAAATACGCAAGATTTGATTTCCATGTAGGGAAACGATAGATACCCCGCTATTAATTGAGAGTTGAGGGGCTAATTTTATGTAACTGTAGGCCAGGATTCTATGATAGTGGTTTGGAACGTTACATTTGTCCTGATTATGACCATTGGTCTTTAAGCACCATGTACTGGGGCGGTGGGGTAGCCTAGTGGTTAAAGTGTTCGCTCTTCACACCGAAGGCCTGGGTTCGATTCTCCACATGGGTACAATGTGTGAAGGTAATTTCTGGTGTCCGCCGCCGTGATATTGCTGGAATATTGCAAAAATTGGCGTAAAACCCATCTCACTCACTCACTACGTATAACTGTATGTATCAGAGTAGCAGAGGGTAACATGGTGGGCATACTCCTGCTAAAAGAGATGCAAAGTTAAGCTTAGGAACTTCGGACACAAGATGCTGTGCAAAGGTGTTTCTCTTTACTGACTGGAATACCGGATTTCTCCAACCTGCATCCTTGTTGTGCTGACGTCAAGACTGATGTGTCAACGAGGGCTCGTCCACAACACAAAAGAAACATCAGACGTGGTCATTCAGTTCTACTCAACTGGAATCCATATTGGAAATGGAACAAGTTTCGTACACGTGACTGTCACGTGGCATGACGGAATTGGGTGGTTAGTCTTGAACCATTAAGGGATCGTTCATACTTTATGGGGGGGGGGGGTTGATGATGATTTTTATGAGATGCATCTACAATGTGAATGGTCCCCCTCCCCCAAAGATTAATGTACAAAATGAGTGACCCCTGCATGTCATGTACAAAATCGATGACCCACCTCCCCTTCCCATAATTCCTTAGCATAATTTTATACATCTTTTTATGTACAAAATTGCTGACCCCCCAGGACGTGTGTACATAATTGATGACACCCCAGCCCCCAGAACAAAATGGGTGACACCCCCTTAAAATCATCTCTCTCTTTCTCTCACACACACACGCACGCACGCACGCACGCACGCACGCACACACATAATAAATTATGAACGGTCCCTAACTGATTCTCTTTGCATTTATCTTAAACTTATATTGACCTAATTCGGTTAAGAATCCAGGACATTTTGTTAATCTGATCCACTTAACGAGGCACTGTTGATCCCAGCGGTCAGTGCTGCCCCCAAATAACGTGTCTGACATTGACCTCGATCACTGTCTTGTCACATGACTCGTCTACAAAGAAAACAAAATGGCGTTCGGTTGTAATATTTCCCCGTGTGCTGGTTTCTGTGATAAAACAGAAGACAGTTTAAAGACGTCATAAGGTTTTATGTGTGTTTTGGTGAAACAAAAAGATCAATTGCCTTTGACGACGGCAGTATGCGGAAACAGGGACGCTCGGATCTGAAATTTTCGGTTGATGGCGCCCTTGTTTCAGTGTAAATGGTAATTATTTGTACAGTGAGTGTGTGATATCTTTTTAGCACAACATAGTGAGTGAATGAGTTTAGTTTTACGACGCATTTAGCAATATTTCAGCAATATTTCAGCAATATCACGGCAGGGGACACCAGAAATATGCTCCACACGTGTGGGGAATCAAACCCGGGTCTTCGGCATGACGAGCGAAAGCTTTAACCACAACACTACCCCACCTCCCCAAGGCACAATATAACCTTCAATGGTGGCATACGAACTTCAGCGATGGGGTCTGGGACCGCGCGTTTCACGGTGAATTCATGCGATGTCAGTGCACATTTGCTGATATACTTTGTTGATATACATTGTACAAAGCGTTTTCGATCACGTTGGTGATACTTAAATAAAATATAATGCCACTTTCGTTCTAAGGCGACGTATTCTGTGTCGATAAACATTTGTTATCGGCAATTTTGATAAGTTTTATTGAATCCCCGATAATTATTCTTGCTGTAATAGCTGTAAATATAGAACACACGGATTTTATCAAATTAGCAAACACCTACATGATTCTATTTTAAATTTTATGAATGAAAATACTTAAAAATTTATAAGTGATAATACCAACAATGTGATTCAGATTGACTGAGGGCAAAAGTACTGAGTATACTGTATTTTGTGTATGCTTTTGAAATAATGGAGAACCATTTTAAAATTTGATAATGCCCATCTAACTATCACTCAGAATTAATCTGTGACTGTATATGTGAAAATGGGTTGGTTCAATAAAACCTGTGATGAAAAAATTAGCTTCTATATGACCCGTACATCGTTTGAAATGTAAATCTATGCAGGAAAAGGAAATTTATTGCTAAGATAAGATGTCCAGCATACCCACTAGCAGTTGTACATTTTGCGATTTTGTTCAAATTAGATCAAATTATATTTAGAAACTAAGAAAATCCTAGAAATATTATTTGAATGTTTACTAAGCATCGGCACAGTTAATGTTTTAGATATTGACTTAGATTTTTTCAACTGAAAATCAGTTATATAAAAATATCGACGGAGAGGTGTTGTTTCTTCGGCTCTTCGTTGTAGAGTACAGGAAATGTTGATACGAGAACAGTGAACTTAACACACACCACCATCGTTGTTTCTTCGGCTCTTCGTTGTAGAGTACAGGAAATGTTGATACGAGAACAGTGAACTTAACACACACCACCATCGTTGTTTCTTCGGCTCTTCGTTGTAGAGTACAGCGAATGTTGATACGGGAACAGTGAACTTAACACACACCACCATCGTTGTTTCTTCGGCTCTTCGTTGTAGAGTACAGCGAATGTTGATACGGGAACAGTGAACTTAACACACACCACCATCGTGATGGCAACTTCACGTCAAAACAAAGACAAAACAGCTGATGCTGTGTTCTCGTACTATGGAAGGTTCACTCCCATTTGTCAGACGGCCCAATTATCAGACAGACCAATCACTGACTGACTGAGTTTGGTTTTACGCCGCTTTTAGCAATATTCCAGCAACAGCACGGCGGGGAACACCAGAAATGGGCTTCACACATTGTACCCATGTGGGGATTCGAACCCGGGTCTTCGGCGTGACGAGCCAACGCTTTAACCACTAGGCTACCCCACCGCCCCAGACAGACCAATCAAGTGTGATCAGTGTAACTGCCTGTGTGGAATTGATGTTCCACTTCTGATTATCCACTGCCACAATAAAACACGAAGCTTAAAACGATAACCATCATGACTATGAAACAGAAGGAGTGAGTGAGTGAGTTGGGTTGTTTTACGCCGCACTCAACAATATTCCAGCTATATGGCGGCGGTCTGTAAATAATCGAGTCTACACCAGACAATCCAGTGATCAACAGCATGAGTATCTATCTGCACAACTGGGAACCGATGACATGTGTCAACCAAGTCAGCGAGCCTGGCCACCCGATCCCGTTAGTCGCCTCTTACGACAAGCATGGGTTACTGAAGGCCAATATTCTAACCCCCGGAACTTCACTGGTTGAAACAGAAGGAAATTCAACTACATAGACTAATACAAAGTACATGTTACCTTCACTTCGCCAGCAGCTTGTAGATCGTCAGCGATTGTCCAGCGACTGGCGTATGGTCTGACAACGTTCATGTCTTCAGTTGTCTCAGGGTAGTAAAGGGGCCCTCGTGATTAAGGGACCCTCGTGGTTAAGGTCCCTGCTACAATGACATGCAATCAACAGCAGCCTGACCACCCAAATCCCATTTTGATAGGCATGATCTACTTGGGTTCTGTTCTCGCCTAGGATACCCTCGAGGACCACAGAAAAAACTTTGTTATTAAGGTTCCGAAATCACATAGTATTAGCCATGCCACACTTCCGTTGTTCTACAATTGATAACTGACAACGTATATTCCTGAAACAAGTGCGTGAAGTCTACAGTCTTCCATGCAAAACATGTTCTGTATGGAATGTTCCTTTTCAAAATCTGACGATAAATTACTAGATATGATATGTTATTAATGGATAACTGATGTTTATCATCACACAGGGACCCGGTTTACTAACATTAATAATTGTGGACCTGCCCGCTGTGAGATAAGGACGCAAGTTACACCTATGCCGTTATTTTCTTTACTCGGAATCTCTGTACTTTTACTCAGCAGTGGTATTTCAAAATGATTTCATTTACTTTTCCGGCCAATCATCACTTGATTGTCTGGTTTGTTTGCAGGCCATCGTAGCATGACAGGAGTATTGCCGTGGCTTTCTTTCATGTTTGGGCAAAATGAATGGCAGGTGTTACGGGTTTGGCCGGACCTGCATACCCTTTTAGCGAACACCTGGTGTCATCACTGATTTTCAGTGACCCATTCATATAATTTTCACAGCTGTTTTGCTCTTCACATAAAATGGAATTTGTTTCTGAGGATCGTTTGCACA